GAGAAACTAGGCAGAGGCCACCCCGCTGGTTTTTTTACTCAGTAATGTAGAAAGAGTGAATGAAGTGATGGGGTGTTAAGAAAACCACCCTCCCCCGTTCCGTGTTAAAACTTTAAAATTTTCCAAAATCTGACTATTTCAAAAGAAAACCAATTTAATTTTAAACCGAAAGCTGCGTCAGAAATTTCTAACTAAACACAACTTAGTTCAATAACCAATCATGGTTTTCACATGGAAATTTGATGCAATATTTGACATGAATCTGATAAATTTCAAACACAACTTTATTATGAGCTCTTCTTCGTCATTCAAATTAAATGTTTTCCCAGAACAGTCTGAAAATTTCAATGGCTTTGCACAGTGAATTTCCTGCTGCCTTCGACAGTTTGTAAAATATTCAAATCAATTGAGTACACATTCATTATACTAGTTCAACTCAGGTGTACAATCTGAAAACTCTAAATACTTAATCACAATTTCTCCGAATCACCAAAATATCGATTAGTTTAAGATATATAGAAATCTCCAACAAAGATTCCTCATTTTGTCAATTAAATATCTGTTGATGTTGATAAAGATGATACGTTAAAAATTAAAGTTATAGTCATTTCAGGTGCTGCAGGTTGTATATGCTATTCAGAATCGATAAGAAATCTATAAACTGTCCGGTTGCAAGAAAAATGCCTAATTTGAATCGATTGTGATGTGATTGCAACGATTACTTGCAAATGACAGTTTATAGCTTTCTTCTCGAAATCTGAACTGTATTACAACGAACAGTGCCAATTCGCCACCTGTCGGCAACATTTATAACTAATTTTGAAACTTTTGTATCAGATTTTTACGGCTTTCAGACTAAACATATCACTGGTTTCGTTCTTCTATCGATCTCCGTTGCCGAGTTATTTAATTTTAAAATGAGGGAGTCCTTTGTTGGACACCCTGTATATAGAAATTTAAAGTTTACAATTTACGTTATTTGTACTTTTTAAAATACGCATTTAGCTGTGTAATTAGATGTATCCTGGTATAGTTTTTGTTGTAGGTTTTTTTAAACAAAAATGTTGGTAAGAATTACAGAAATAGTAATCAAAGTTAAGTATGGCGGTTATTGCAAAAATAACATGTTTTCGATTATTCTGGTTTTTTTCACCTCCGGTTTAATTAAATAAACGGTTTTTGGGGGGTTTTTTATAAAAAACATACGTTGTATGTAGACAAAAATTTTATTATTATTGTTTTTACAGGAAATCAATCCATTGGCTATTATTTATCTGTTCATAAAGACCCTTTCAGTAATCCGCCAACCAACAGATGCCTCGTGGAAGCGGTTTTCGTTGATTGGCCTAAGATGATGAAATTCAAAGCTTCATAACTTGGTAAATATTAATATAATCGAACCTATCTTCCGATCCGGTTTTTTTACCCCGTTATTGGATTTTCAAAAAAAAACCGGTTATAACCGGGAGAAAAATAACCGAAAAAACCGGTTAACTAAACAAAAAAACACCGGTGTTTGGTTAAAACAGGTAGGTTTTTCTAATCCTTTATCGAAATGTCTATCAATTTTACTGATTTCAATCCGCACACAATGTAAAAGATAAGCAAAAGCGTGTGTTAGCTTATGCCAAGTTTATATATATATTTTTTATATTTGCATGTCATTTCAGAAAGTCTAAGAGGTTATAAAAATAAAATTCAGTCTGAAAAATACGGAGCATAAAATTACAAAAAGAGAGAAAATAAAGAATTTCTAAGAGTGAAACTGTTTGCTTTTAAATGGTCTGGCATTTTTTCCCATCAGGAAACTTATTCATCACGTACCACCTTTCTTCGCAGTTAGCATTCGCCACTTTGTATTTAGCATAAATCGCTACTCCTAACGAGTAATATAAGGTGTACCCAAATGAAAAGGAGACCTTAGCTGTATCGGCGATGTATCAAATCCCAGTGGGTTAATATGCTAGCCGATAGATGGCGTGGTGGTACTCCCAGTTGCATCTGCGTAGTTAACGGCTTCGCATCAATACCCTCATTTCTGGAGAGTTGTTTCCGCAGTTCGTTGCATTATGGATTCATCCAGATCAGCACAAAGAGCAGTTATCCAATTTCTTCGCTCAGAAGGGGAGCATTCTTCACAAATTTATCGCAGGATGAAAGAGGTGTACGGAGAACAGTGTGTCGCTCGGTGCACCATATTCCGGTGGTTTCAGCGTTATGAGGCGGGACGCGTAAACATCAAGGACTTGCCACGCCCTGAGCAGGCGCACGTTGTGACCAACAGTGCCACGATTTCGGCTGTGGATGAGCTCATACGGCAGAATAGTCGGATCACCACACGTGAAGTTGATGTTGAACTGTCGATAAGCAAAGGAACTGTGCATCGCATAATCCACAAAAAGATTGGTTATGGCAAAGTTTGTGCATAGTGGATGCCCAAGCATCTGGCAGAGAATCAGAAGACGGCGAGAATGGGAACTGGATCCGTCAGCAACCCAGGAGTTTCTACACTGAAGCCATCCACTCCCTTCCTACGCGCTGGGATCAGTGTATCAATGTCAATGGCAATTATTTATCACTGTACTGTTCCACATGAACTGTAATTGGAATATTGTAATTAAAATTTCTTTACATATAACTACAGTCTCCTTTTCATTTGAACACACCTTATATCTTCTCGAACGTCTCACTAGAAATATTTGTTCACAGTCATGCTAACTGCAAAGTAAAACGCCATTAGCACAAGAAACATAGCAAGTTTTAATCAAAAAGCTCATTCAGTCACTTAGTTTTCAAACTGATTTTGGTTAAGATTCTAAATCAAGCTCTTCCTTTCCGAATCAAGTTGTTCAAACCTTTATAATCCGTATCAATAGTTTCTGGAGACTTCTACAGTAGAGCAGTCTAAAGTTTTCATGGAGTGCCTGCATTAGTTTAAATTTTTTTTCTAAGAACTTCTCACAAAAGTCAATGGTTGATGCATATATTTATCTTTCGCAATTTCGAAGTTTTTTTTTGTTATATTAACGTCCCGTTTTGAAGCAACACGAGGGCTACGTAATTTGGGACGGACCTCGTAATTTTGAACCTCGGTCAGATGACGAGGACGACACCTGAGCTGGCACCCCCCTCTCCAAACTTCCACGGCACACCAACGGGAGGACGTTTGACCACTACGTATGATTTAACGTGCAACAGGCCCCATACACGGTGGATCTTCAGTGGAATCGGGTTTCGAACCTGGAACCCTCCGGCCCCAAGGCCGAGACCTTACCACTAGGCCACCGCGGCCTTCGCAATTTCGAAAGAAACTGTGCTTTTTATGAGTTGAGAAATTTCGAATGCGTGCATAAACGAAGGAAGCAAACACGATGAAAAGCATTGTTGTAAAATATACTTAAAAATATTTTTAAAATGTTTCAAATTAAAGAAAAAAACTGTACGGAAATATAATTTTTATCACTCAAAAGTTATAATTTTGAATTTTAAACTGATGTGAAAACGGTTTGGGGAGATAATTTGCTTTTAAGTTTTTGAGGGAAAGGTTTGAAATTTCGATTAATTTTTAATTAAAAATCTAATTAAAATTTTACGTGAACTTTTATCTTGAATCTCTTCTTAGTTTTAAAATGAGAGGTTATCATATAAAGATATTTTAATTATGCCATAAAGAAATTACAGAAGAACCAGAAGATGTGAACAAGATCAATAATAATATATGTACCTTTTTTATACAACGCAGCAGCATCCAGTTAGTGCATTAAGAATATTGTCTATAATCAACTAACCAATTAAGATACAATCGAACAATATAAGTCATGCTTCAATAAAAATTGTATTAACAATATTGTCTATAATCAACTAAGCAATTTAGATACAATCAAACAATATAAATCATGCTTCAATAAAAATTATAACACATTAAGATAAACAAACCAAATGGAAAAAATGGAAGAGAACTCGAATGACGAACTTTTTCAAAGTGCCACTTCGAAAATGGATAAATTTTCTGTCAATTGAATGACTTAATAGTCAA